TTTATTTTGATTTTTTTTTCTTTTTTCTTTTTGTTATTGACTATCCCACATTTTTATAGCAGAAGATCTGCCACGAAAGGTGAAACGTTGTAAGATCCTGAACGCAAATTCACTGTAAATAAGCTAGCGATTAGAGCACTTTCTATACATTTTCGTCATAGTGAATTGTTTTCTTTTTAAAATTAAATCTTTATTTTCGTGATATTTCTATAAAATCAATATAAAACTTAAAATTTTCATTTAAGTTTTATATTTATTATGGTTACGTTTTTCATTTACTCCCTCATGTTAAAAGTCATTGCTATACAACAAACGAATGCGATATAATGAAAAGCAAAACAGTGAAATGAAATACGTATGTTAGCACCATCATGATGTAGCGTGTGTCAGTGTGTGAACCACACTTGCGAATATCAAACGGATATTTTCATGGACATCTATTTCTGATTTGATATTTAGAAAAATTTACAGACTGTGGTTAAAAACAATAATCATGTGGATTTTTGTCAATTTTTTTAAAAATAGCATTTAATTCCTTCGATTGATAATCTCGCTGCTGGGCAGATTTTCATGTTTCAACGCAAGTCTGTAACGACTGATCTTTATGTGTGGTTAATGTGTAAAAGAATTAGCACAAATATAGCACCTGTCCCTGGCACAATGGGTTTGGTTTGGTTTATTTTGTTTTACGGCATATCAACCTCAATGGGTTATTTAATGCCGACAAGATTTTTAGGATGGATTTATATGAAGAGAATATTTTACAGTACCAAGAAGAGATTTTAGTATCCAATCAATATCGGATATACTAATGACTATTCTCAAAATTATGATACGAAATAAAAATTGAAACAATTATACATAATAGAACAAGTTGTAGTTAAATAGAATGCATAATCTGTTGTTTATTTTCTTTTTCAGGATCAGACTTTAGTCATCTTAAGAATCTAAAAAAGCAAAAGTGAAGCAAAAAACAAAAAAAAAACAAAACAAACAGTAGTCACATTCCATGCCATAGGAGACTTCTGGGATATCCGACTCGTCCTTTTTAGCATTTTTATTTTAGTTTTACATTTATTATGATTACATTTTTCAATTACACATTCATGTTAAAAGTAACAAATGCAATATAATTAATAGCAGAACAGTGACATAAAATACGTATGTCAACGCCATTATGATGATGTAGCATGGGATTTTGTAGGAAGCACACCTAGGAAATACCAAAAGGCCATTTTCATGGATATATATTTCTACAAAATCAATATAAAATAAATAAATAATGCAACTTTTATTACATTCATTATATTTTTTCTCATATAAATGAATAATACGACGAATATTCAAATAATATTTTCTCAGATCATTATTTTATAATTATATGACAATTATATTACCGTTCCCTGACACACAGGGAAGACTTGTGTCAATGATGACTCGCCTTAGAATGGCATGTCCTCGTGTTTCGTTCAGATAATTTCAAAATGACCATGAAATAAGACATATCTTGAGAAAAAAAAAAGGAAAAAAAACAGGAGATGGGAGCAAACGGCCCAGATGGATTTAAAAGCTTCTCTCGCTGGTCCCACGCACCTTGAAAAAAAACTGTCGGTACGCCACATCAGAGATTTTAAGAAGCCCTGATCCAGACTGCTATAAAATTTGGGGAGATGGCGTTATTTGTCTGGACCCCCAGTGTTGTTCACACAGGTTTCTTTATGGGACGCCCTCTATTAGAAAATACGTTGCTTATAATGTTCATTTATTTATATGGCATTTTTATTACACAATTTTAGTCGGAAATATTAGTGACGACCCACAAGAGTTACGATCT